AGGCAAGCATCTGGCAAGACACTAGCATCGCTACAATAATCTTATCGTTTGGAGGAGCCTGTGCCAAGCAGGCACATTCCGTCCCAATGGAACAAGCCCTGTGGCAAGTCTAAAGCGAACCATGAATGCCAGCAGGGCTGCGAAAGCAGCCTCTACTTAAATCTCCATGTCTGCTCTGCTCTCACAACATCTTCTGAAAAAACAAGAACGATGTAAGATTCCACGACTTACTCCTTCAGCAAAACCAAGAGGCAAAGAAAATTCATCTATGCCAAACGACACAGGGTGAGGCAGGCTGGGCAGGAGCAGGGTTAGCTACAAGGACTGTGGGAAGTGAGGAACAGCAGTAAGACAGTGGCTTAGAAACCCCAACGGCTTTCAGCCACAGTTATGGCGGAAGAGACGACTCCACCCACAAGACCAAGGAGTGAAAGAATGTTGAAGATTAACAAGACACATGGGGAGGAAGAAAATGCTAAAATACTCCTGAAGGTCTCAGATTTCAACATGAGAAGAGGTGCCATGTTCTTGAACGGGAATCGCCATCATCATAAAATGTCAATCCTCCTTAAAGTAACTGTCATGTAAAACAATCCCAATAAAAACACCATAATGTCTTCTTCATCTATAAACAGACAATTGATTCTATAGTACATGTTCAACAGTAAGCCAACAAGCAGAGTCCTCCGAAAACCTCCGAAAAACAACAGCAAAGAAAGATAAGGGGAGGACTAGCCCTGCCAGGAATTAAAACACAAGAAAAGCTTGATCCATGAGAACAGCATGGCTCCAGAACAAGATTCAGCAAGTTTAATAGAACAGAAAGCCAGGAAATCAACCTAAATAAATCAGAGAATTTAACGCACGAAGAAAGCAGTACCTCAGGTCAGGTGTCAACACAGACTCTGTACTAGAGAGTGCTGGGGACACTGAGAAGTTATTCCAAAGATTCAGTCCAACTCATTTCATATCACACTAAAAGAAAAACTCCACATGGACCAAAGTTCTCTGTGCAAAAATAAAACCATGCAAATACTAAAAGAAAAAAATGGTTAATTCCTTTATAAACTTTGACTACAACTCAAAATCCACAAACCATAAAAATAACTTAAGAAATGAATTCCACGGTACACAAATTTAAATTTTTTGCACAGTAAAAACATCATAAACAAAGTAAAAAACAAAAGGAAAATGGGGAAATATTTACAATGCCTATCACAGATGTTTAATCTAAGAGCTCCCAAAATTGAGGTGAAAGCAGTGGGCACAGGGCTTAAACAGGTAATTCTCAAAAACATACAAAAAGCCCTTCGAACATATGAAAAGATGCTCACCCTCACTCGAAAATAAAGTGAAAATTAGCTCTACAGTGAGTCTCTTGTTGATTGACCGGCAAGCATGCCCCAGTTCGACAACACACTCTGCACAGAAGCAGGCACTCCCGTGCAGTGCTCTGGAGTCAGCATGGCGCAACTCCTAAGAAAGGATATTTTGCAAAATTACAGATGGCAAAAACACAGACACGGAACATCCTTACCAGGAATCCAGCACACATCTTTCTTCCACTTAATTTCTGTGCAAGACAGACCCTGAAGTACCATCCTGAGAAAAGACTAGAAACAGTAACGCAAGGACACAGCCACAGGGAGCCGGGAGCCCAGTGGAAGAAAGCACTGTGCGGAAATAAAAGAGAACAAGGAAGGACTTTATGAAGTGGAGTTCATGCTTTGTATTATAACTACATATTCTATAAATCCACAGTGTCAAGACACCAGAGAATATTTTTACTTTCAGGGTGTCATCTATGTAATCTCAGCTTAGCACAGCCAATTAAGAATGACTGGGGGGGCCAGCACTGTGGCGTGGCGGGTAGAGCCGCCTCCTGCAGCGCCGGCATCCCATATGGGCACTGGTTTGAGTCCCGGCTGCCCCACTTCTGATCCTTATCTCTGTTATGGCCTGGGAAAGCAGTTGAAGATGGCCCGAGTCCTTGGGTCCCTGCACCCACATGGGAGAAGAAGCTCCTGGCTCCTGGCTTCAGATCAGCAGAGCTCCAGCCATTGCGGCCATCTGGGGAGTGAACCAGTAGATGTAAGACCTCTCTCTCTCTCTCTCTCTACCTCTGCCTCTGCCTCTGCCTCTCTGTAACTCTGCCTTTCAAATAAATAAATAAATCTTTAAAAAAACCCACTAGATACAGTCAATTAACAAACTTTTAGGGACTGTTGAAGGCTAAAGTCTATCTTCCCCAAACTCATTGGTTGAAGCCCTCAGAATGTGACTATATTGGAGTTAAAATGAGGCCATTAGAGTGGGCTATGCCGGTCTGACGGGTGTCCTCCCGGCAACAGGAAATTCGCGCACAAGAGCAGCAGGGCTGACCCCGGGCAGGCAGTAGGGGCGAGGCCATCCACAAGTCTACAAGTCAAGGAGGGGTCTCAGGAGAAACCAGCTCTACAGCTCCTTGCTCGTGGGCTTCCAGTCTCTGGAGCTGGAAGACAACGAGCTCCCTTAAGCCACCATCTACGGCTGCCCCAGCAAACCAACACAGGAGCTACATGCACAACACAGTATTTGGAAAACTGACCTACTGCACACTGGAGCACTGCAAACGAACAACTGGACCACAGAAATCGTTTATAACAAAGTCCTGTTCTAAATTTCTAAAGAATTTTCACTTTTAAAGTCAAATAACAACCACTATAGACAGGCAGAGAGAGAAACAGTGTCAGATAAATCTGCGTGGGCAGGAGGTAGAAGGGCATGCCTTCTGATGGTTCGCCTCACCGTGGGACGAACAGATGGTCTAGTCTACATTCCACTCTAGAGGTGACGAAAGCAACAGGGTTACACCTGCAGAGCCAACAATGAAAAAGCAACAAGACTACAGACAATGGCCTCCTAATCCCACACAAAAAATTTCATTCTTCTGTTTTTCAGTTAAAAGCATGATTACACAAACTGCACTACTTGCAATAAAAATCATATTGTGTACAGTTATGATAAGAGAACAAAGAGGGACACACACACACACACACACACACACAGAGCAGCCTGGGTTCTGACCAGCTCCTGCCTGGAAGGGCCTTCAGCATATGAATTACCTTTGATGAATTTGTTGTCTAAGGAGAAGCCTGAACAAGATAGTCCCATCTCAACCAGTGGTCAGACTCCCATGGCTTCCTGGGAAATTCGTGCAGGGTAAGGAACAGGAATGAACTTGCAGGACCTGGTGGCCCCTGAGACGGGATTCAAGCAGGGGCTCTCGTTTCTATTTGTTTTTCCCTGGCGCTGCTATGTTCCATTTGGTGCTGCCGAGGGAAGAGTCTTGCTGCCGAAAATGTCCAAAACCTTTTTGTGAAAATGCTCTGTCTACAACATTCCTTCTAATCATGCAAGTGAAGGTATTAAATAAATACAGGTGGAAAAACCAGTAAGTCACAGCCAGCAGATACACAAGGCGACGGGATGACACAATGGCGACAAATGGCAGTGACTCACTCACCCTGCAGCAGACGGGTACATTCAGGGCTCAGGACATGAACTACATGGACAAGACAGAAGAGACTGTGCCTAATATGTGTAAAAGATTAAGTAAGGACTGCGGTGGCTCAGTGGGTTAAGCTGCTGACTGTACCACTGGCATCTATTATGGGCACTGGTTCAAGCCCTGGCTGCTCTACTTCCAATCCAGCTCTCTGCTAATGAGCCTAGAAGGCAGTGGAAGATGGCCCAAGTGCTTGGGCCCCAGTACCCATGTGGGAGACCTGGAGGAAGCTCCTGGCTTTGGTCTGGCCCAGCCCTGGCTATTGCAGCCGTTTGGGGAGTGAACCAGTGGATGGAAGATCTCTCTCTCAGTCCTTCCCTCTTTCTCTAACTCTGCCTTTCAAATAAATAAGACAAATCTTAAAAAAAAAAAAAAAAAGATTAAGGATTGTTAGCAATGGTAAGCATTGTAAAGTGAGCCTGACAAGTAACCTCATGGTTCAAAAGTGATGGAATTTGACATCCTATTAATAACACTATAGTTTCCAAAATGAGAGCTTTCAACAAGATAGCCACATATGTAAAAAAGAAGTTTGTACCATCAATAGTCAAAGAATACAAACAGCAATGGATGGCAAACGAAAGACAGACTTTGCAATGAGTCAGAGCTATGTTCCAACCTTAACTTTCAAGCTTAAGCAGCTTCTGGAATCTTTACCATCACTAACGAGGGCATCCTGCAGGGTCAGTGACACCACAGATAGCGGACTACTGTGGGCCTTCGGGAAACAGCTCATGCTTGCAGACTCGACATGAAATCCTAGCTCATCTACTGCTCAACACAGTTCTAGAAGGGAACTGTAACCTGCATATGCAAACCAAAACAAGCACGGGACCAAAATGGTAACAGGTGGACTATTCAACCATGGTACAGTACAAACCAGAAGGCGCTGCCATGGACTTCCAGCAGGAACGGAAGGTGGTGAACCTTCCCTGCATAGCACCCAGGCAGTGTGGGCTGAGCACAGTTGCCAACACCCATAACTGTCCAACCCTAATAGGAAAGGAAAAGACTTGGTGGACACGGGAGGGACTGGAGGGCTGACCGATGCGTGGCAAACCCATGACACGGAGGCTTTGTTTTCTAACCAAGAAATGCAAAGCTTCTCTGAGCCGTCTTTTCTTCCTGCTTTGATCTGTCCTCATCCCTGGTTTCCATAAAGGCCCCCTTTACAGCCCAGCCCTGTGCACTCCTGAGAACTGGAGGGCAGAAGCTGTGGCCCCTCCGCCCGTCAGCAGGCTGCCCAGGCGCAGGCACTCCGAGGGCTCAGGCGTCTCCTGAGGTTAACAGCGGAGGGTGGAATGGAGGCAGGCCCGCTCTCCAGGGAACAGCACCGCACAGAGAAGACGAGGCTCCACGTCCTGCAAGTCCAAAGTACGCCGCGCTCGGCGTGCACGACAGCCCAGGGCCCAGGGAAGGCGTCCGTGCCGGCCCGCCGACCAGCGGCACTCACCTAAGATGAGATGGAGCTTGGTCTCTGTCTGGAAAGCATAGTGCAGCGTCACCAGGAACGGCGACTGCCTGATGTGCTCCAGGACCTGCCGCTCCGTCCTCGTGTGCTCCCTGCTTTTGGCCTTCTGAACGATGGTCGCCTTCTTCAAAACCTTCATGGCGTACAGCTTTCCAGTGTCGTGACCACTTATTTTACGAACCAGAAATACTTTCCCGTACGCTGAAAGCGAGAAAAGAAAAATACACAGAATTAACATGTATAGAGGCAGAATGGTGAGTTATTGGAAATAATTTTTTTTATTTATTTGAAAGCGTTGCAGAAAGAGAGGGAGGGAGGGAGGGAGGGGGAGAGAGGGAGAGAGGGAGAGAGAGAGAGGGAGAGAGAGAGATCTTCCACCCACTGGTTTACTCCCCAAATGACCGAAATGGCCAGAGCTGAGCTGATTCAAAGCTAGGAGCCAGGAACTGCTTCCAGGTCTCCCCTATGAGTGCAGGGCCCAAGGACTTGGGCCATCCTCTGCTGCCTTCCCAAGCACATTAGTAGGGAGCTGGACTGGAAGTGGAGCAGCTGTGACTCGAACCCGCATCCATATGGGATGGATACCAGTATTGCAGGCTGGGGCTTTAACCCACTGCACCACAGCACCAGCCCCTGGAAATAAATGTATTTAATACACACACACACACACACACATAAACTCTTTAAAGGAAAAAGTATCCTTGGTGCTGTTTCAAATAGCTCTCTGATGGATTTCTTCACCTTTATACCTTTATACCTCTCTCTATATATTTCTAGGCTTAGCCTTCTGTATTTTACATATCCAGCCACTGCTAACAGAATTATGCTTTCACTCTCTTACTGTTATTTTCTCCTCAATTTTTTTAGCTGAAGGAAACTAGCTGTTATTATAATCAACCAGCCACAATCCAATTCTAGAACACCTGGGATATTTCTGCCATCAGATAAAACTTCTAGAGGAGTATATGTGTGTGTATGTGTGTGTGCATGGGTGTGCGCACACACACGTCCACACATGTTTATGTGTATCTAAAAGCACTTCAAAAAGCTCACAAGGAAATGGAATTAACAGATAAGTTCATTTTGGAAATCCATGTGCAGTTTTTTCTTAATTTTCCACTAACTTTTTGTAGTACTCTCATATTTGCTATTGCTCTAGACAAAGACTGTTCTTAATAAGACTCTCACACACACATATAAATCAGATACCCGAAGGACTCCTGTATACTTATTAAAAACAAGCCTAAAGTAACATCAGCTGACAATATATACACAAAGGAGACTGTAATAAACATGAAAAAATCCTAGATTGTAATCCACTTGTATCTCTGGGCAGTAATTCACGGCTTACTGGGTGCACCCAGCCACACTTTCCCTAAGGAAGGGGTCTGTTGGACGCAATCCCATGTGTGCTGCTCCCCCAGCAGAGGGGCTGTGGCCAGGTGGATGCTGCCCCCGCTAGCAGATCAAGTTCTCTGCGTTTATTTCCCTGGAGTAGAAGGAGAGCAGGAAGAGGTGGGAATAAAGGCAGGCAGAAAACAAAAGGAAAAAAAAGCAAAGAAACCACTGCAAGAAGGAAACAGGAGGTCCCAGTCCAACCCTACAATGATGAATCAAAAAATGCAAATGTCCCCAGGGATGGGTAAGCCCAGTCCCTCTTCTGAAATTAAATGCTTTAATTCAACCATTCTCATTTTTTTTTAAGATAAATTAATTTATTTGAAAGGCAGAGTTACAGAGAGAGAGAGAGAGAGAGAGAGAGGTGGATCTTCCATCCGCTGGGTCACTCCTCAAATGGCCACAACAGCTGGAGCTGGGCCAATCCAAAGCCAGGAAACAGGGGCTTTATCCAGGTCTCCCATGTGGGTGCAGGGGTCCAAGCAGTTGGGCCATCTTCCACTGCTTTCCCAGGCGCATTAGCAGGGAGCTGGATGGGAAGTAGAGCAGCCAGGACTTGAATCCTCATGCATATGGGATGTCGGCTCTGCAGGCAGCAGCTTTACCCACTGTCACAATGCTGATTCAACCTCTCTCAAGTCAGTCTGAACTTTGACCCCGACTACTGCTTCCATACCCTCTGCTCACACCTCTACAGCATTCAGCATATGGTTCATTACAATCCACCCACTAGAATAAAGGAGCCTTGAATGACAGGCTGTCGTGTCCTGCACATTTGTCAGTTCAGCACATCAGGAGCTGGCTGGGCACGACACACGACACATGGCACCAGGCCATACCAGCCCCAGGGAGCCTCTTCCACTGTAGCGCCCTCACAAAGGCCGCGGAAGCTGGAACTTTCAATAAACCCAGTCACTCAGGAAGAAATGGCTTCAGAAGAGTGAAGGAATCGGACAGAAGACTCGGGCAAGAAATGGCAGAGCTGGCTCCAGTGAAAGCAGTGTGACTGTAAGGTCCACAGTCTTCACTACAGATGAATAAAATAAAAAAAATCCTCATGAATGCTAGGAAGTGGATATTCTGGATTTTTAAAACTGTTAATTCTATTTATATGAGAGAGAGAGAGAGAACTTCCATCCCTTTGTTCATTCCCCCAAATGCCTGCAACAGCCTCCCAGCTGGGGCCAAACTAGGAGCTGAGGATTCAATCCAGGTCCGCAACACGTGTAGCAGAAACCCAAGTACCTGAGCCATCACCACTGCCTCCCTGAGACTCTGTTAGGAAGAAGCTGGAGTCAGGAGCTGGACTTGGGCTAAACACCAGCTCCTAGACTTTAGTAAAACCAGCACTGTAAACATACTGAACATGTTCTGAAATAGTGCAAAAATTCACAGAAGTGTGTGTCTTATCTCACTGTAAACACAGCAATTCTAAGTTGAGACCTTAGTGAGGCAGAAAAGAAACAAATATGGAAAAAGCTTTCAGAACCTAACACAGTGAAGTCTAACAACGAGAAAGTTTATCCATCCAGAAGCAACGAAATGAGGTTAGAAAGTGTTCTAATGAAATACACTGCATCTGCGACAGAGCAAGCCACTGTGTGCACGGGAGAAGCCACCGTGTGCACGGGAGAAGCCACCGTGTGCACGGGAGAGGCCACCGTGTGCACGGGAGAAGCCACCGTGTGCACGGGAGAAGTCAGGTCCCCTGCAAGCAGCCCAGGAGCTCTGGTGCTCCTCCCATCCACAGGGCCCTGCTCCAAACTCCTGTCTTCCCAGATTCCTATCTCTACAGCGCCGTGGTCCCCAGAGGTTATGGAACCCACTGGTCCTCACAACTGCTGGGATCCTTTCCACCAGCTCAGTGAGACCTGGCTGCCCAGCCGCCTCCTCCACTTGTTTCCTCCAGCGCTGGTGCTGCTAAGGTGACAGACCACTGGGTGTTGGCACTAGCACTGGGTACTTGTCACACACTCAGACACGCAGTAAAGCAGCCACTTCCCACAGCAGCCCTCCAGGGCATGAGGACACTCATCTCTACTTAATACATGAGAACTGAAGCACAGAGGACTTGGGTCACATGCCCAAGGTCGCACTTTCCGACAGCCCCTGGTCAGGGCCTACTCCAACAGCTGTGCTCTGGCTGCCTCCCCTAGGAGCCAGGCACAAGTCCCAGGGTGGATGTGAACTGTAAGCACGGCATGGACCCAGTGCTACTACTTCTCAGAGGAGTACTTTTGGCAAAGCAGCCCATTTTGCTCATTGGGACGGGGGTGGGGGATGGGGCTAACTATCAGGAACTGTGCCTTATATTTTGCAGAAACAGGCTTCCTTATCTTCTTCCATTGGTCTTTCTGTACCCTCTGTACACACACAAAGAACACTGCTCTTCCATCAGAATAATTTTTCAAATATTAAAGACACTGCCATGCCATCGCCTTATCTTTAGGCCAATCCCAGTAACAGGACTTAGAGACCTCTCATCACTAGGAGGTTCTGCTGAAGTGTTCTTTGTGTTTGCAAAAATGTTCTCTTTGATTCTTTCCTATTACTTTAAAAAAAATGTTGTATTTCTTTTTTTTTTTTTTTTAAACAGGCAGAGTGGACAGTGTGAGAGAGACAGAGAGAAAGGTCTTCCTTTTGCCGTTGGTTCACCCTCCAATGGCTGCCGCGGCCGGCGCGCTGCGGCCGGCGCACCGCGCTGATCCGAAGGCAGGAGCCAGGTGCTTCCTCTTGGTCTCCCATGGGGTGCAGGGCCCAAGCACTTGGGCCATCCTCCACTGCACTCCCGGGCCACAGCAGAGGGCTGGCCTGGAAGAGGGGCAACCAGGACAGAATCCGGCGCCCCGACCGGGACTAGAACCTGGTGTGCTGGCGCCGCAAGGCGGAGGATTAGCCTAGTGAGCCACGGCGCTGGCCAAAATGTTGTATTTCATTCCAGGAAAGCATGAGTGGCATACTCAGTTCACATACATGGTCAAGTAACGTAACACCACTCCGAGTGCCATGTTACCCTCAGTGTGGTCAAATAATGGGGTCACCCTCCTTGCCACGGGAAGGCGTCTGGAAGCTTCCTGGCGATATGAACACAAGCTCACATCCTCTGCCAATGCAGCTACATTCACCTCTCAGAAAGCATCCAGAGAAAACAGCTGTGAGGAAGCTCACAAATCTCTTGTTTTGACTTTCACAGCTGCCACGGTTAGCACCAAAGCCTCAGCACTTGGATCCATGGTAACTCCTGGTGATGCTGGTCAATAAAATTCAAGCAGCACCTCACACAGTCGCAGACAACAAGTATCTCAGACAAGGGTCCTGACTCATGAGTAGGCTGCATCACCGACACACAGCTGCCTCCACACAGCCCCGTGGGGGAGAAGACACTCCCTGCTGCAGAGAACCTGGAGAAGGACCGCACGGGCTGGAGCAGTTTATTGCCCAAGGCAGACAGCGAGAGTGAAGTCATCCTTCTCTGGAACACGGCCGCCGCCCGCCCAGGGACTGCGAATGTGCTTTTCAATATTTTAAGAGAGGTGATTGAAGCTGGAATTGGTGGCAATAAGATTTGCTTTTAGTTTGCGACCAGATAAATGATGCACTGCTCCTAAGTGCAGCCAACTTCTGGCCTCATCCATTGCGCCTGTTGGATGGTCTCTGAAGTGACCCCATCCTGAACTGGACGGTCGGGAATCGTCAGAGGAAACTCCTCCGGCCAAGCAAGATACCCAGCTGTACATCCTGCTCAGATGGGGGCCCCGAGATGGACAGCAGGCAGCACAGCTGGGTTTGCATCTGGGTTTGAG